GCTGCTCTGATGCTGCCTGTCCTGCTGTGTTCCTCCAGCTCCACACTTAGTATGTAGCAAGCCATTTAAAGATATGGCATGATACATGCTATCATCTTGATGTTGTGCAGCTATTAAATGAAGTTTGTGCCATTCAGGTTCCATAAATTTATTTAAAATTAGAAAATAGGGTATGCGGCATGAATGAGGAAAGGAATTCCATTGATATAAAGACCAAAACACACACATGCAGATCTATAAACAGATTCATCTCTTCATTCTTTTTTCAAATGTTGTCTGGAGGAATACATGGTTTTGTGAATTCCTATTTCTAGTCTGTCTACTTGTGTTGGATCTGTTGGTGTTATGGAAGCCTGTTGTTTTCTTGTAGATGCTGTATTTTCATTTCTAAGATGAAATTTATTTATTTTTGATTTTTTTTTGTGTTTGGTAATTGCTCTGACCAAACAAAGCACAGGGATTCTGCATATTTTTGAGAAACCTAATTGTGCAACTGAATTTTTTTTATTGCTTGTCTAAGTGTTCTTGAAAGACAGTTGAAATATAGAGAGTAGCATAATTAGTGGTAAATAGAATAATGCTGGCATTCTTCTGTGTTTTAGCTATCAAAACCTTGTTTTAATGAAATGTGATTTGTCCTGGAAAGCATTCCATTAAAGTGATCCCATTATGTTGAAATGAAATACAGTATAACCTCTCTAGTGTGATAATTTGTTGTTCGGAAATACCAGTTGCCTGAGAATCTTTTGAGCAGTCACAAACAATGGGCGGCACGGGCGCTCAGTGATTAGCACTGCTGCCTCACAGCGCCAGGGACCTGGGTTCAATTCCACCCTTGGGCGACTGTCTGTGGAGTTTGCACATTCTCCCCGTGTCTGTGTGGGTTTCCTCCCACAGTCCAAAGATGTGCAGCGTAGGTGGATTGGCCATGCTAAATTGCCCATACTGTCCAGGGGTGTTTAGGTTAGGTGGGTTGGACGTGGGCGATGTAGGGGTAGGGGAATGGGTCTGGGTGGGATGCTCTTCGGAGGGGTGGTGTGCACTTGTTGGGCCGAATAGCCTGTTTCCACATTGTAGGGATTCTGTTCTGTTCTCTTCTATACTAAAATGATGTTATGAATTAGTACTTTGGGAGCAGAAACTTTGAAGATACAGTGTCTGAATCAGTAAAACAGTTTTTGTCACTCTCTTTGTCTTCACTAATTTTTTTTCTGGCTCACAAATTTGCACATAAGATTTTAAAGTAATTCTATAATCCAGTAAATTCTGAAACCCGAAAACAACTAGGTTCCAAGCATTCTAGACAGAAATATTACAGTGCATGATTTTTCATTGTAAATTTTGTTTTTTTAAAATAAAAAGAGTATCAGGAGGAGAATGTCACCAGCCCTTTAATCAGCTAACTGATGCAAAAATGCTTTGGGTGATTGGGGAAAATTGTTTGATTATAGTATGATGAAGAAAATTGTAAAAGTACTGGCCATGAGTCTCATTTAATTGGTATTACAATCTAGATGCCATGCATCTTGATCACAATGTATTTATTTAACATTCTGTTATACCACTATTTTTGTATGGCATGTTGGTAGATTTATTTTGCAGAGTATTTCGGGATGCTTTGCTAATTTAAAGATTATAAAGTGTTTTTTCAATAATTTTTCCTGTTTACATTGTCACTGTATCCATCGTTCTCGTGCTAGCCTTTGATTCATCTCCATTCTAGACTACCCATTTGTACTGAAAACATGTTAAGTATGTTAAATCTTTGTCTTTGCAACTATGGGTTGAGCTCGAGTCCCGTACTCTAGCAGCACCAAAAATGTTTATCTACCTCATTAAAATTGCCTGTTTCTTTTATAGAGTCATACGGATGTCCAACACAGAAACAGACCCTTTGATCCAACTCGTCCATGCCAACCAGATATCCTATATAAATCTAGTCCCAATTGCCAGGATTTAGCCCATATCCCCCTAAACCCTTCTTATTCATATACCCATCTAGATGCCTTTTAAGCATTGTAATTACACCAGCCTCCTCCACTTCCCCTGGAACTTCCATACATGCATCACCCTCTGCGTGAAAAAGTTACCCCTTAGGTCCCTTTTAAATCTTTCTCCTCTCAGCTTAAACCTATGCCCTCTAGTTTTTGACTCCCCTACCCCAGGGAAAAGACCTTGTCTACTTACCTTATCCATGCCCCTCTGATTTTATAAACCTGTATAAGGTCACCCCTGAACTTTTTTGTACTTTTGGTAATTTCCAAACTATATACCAGTATGTTTATTGTTGGGCTTCTTTTGTCTATCCAAAAAGTACAACGTGCAAATTGCTGTGGCTGTCTGTATTCCTTTACAGAGCCCAGCTCTTCCCTCAGGTCAGTTGATCTTCACTGGCTTCTAACTACCCAAGGTGTTAAATTTTCAGTTTAGAATTTTGATTACTTCATGATTTTAATCCACTCTATCCTGCAACATTCTCAGGCCTATTTCCCTTCATGACTTTTTTGATTCAACTTTTCACTTGCTTTGTTTCATGAGTACTTATAGGTAATTTGCTGCAGCCATAATATTCAATTGAATTTCCATTAAATCCTCCTGTTTAACTACTTCTCTTGCCTCCTTTTTAAAACTCAACAAATCAGTCATTTCTTTGTGTTTGTAACACTTCTCAGATTCTGTAATCGAGCATAAAGAAACCACTCTGACCACCATGTCCATGCCATCTTTTTGAATGAGTAGTTCACCTGATTCTGCTTCAGTTTTTTTTCCCTTAAATGGTTTCTCCTGCTCAGAGTTCCATTTCTCTACTCTTACTTAAGTACTTGGTATTTTTTTCTGGACTAAAGTGTATGATACATCTGTGTTATTAGTAGAAAGTGGAACACTACTGTGTTTGGAGTAATGTAAAAGCTTTCTTGTAACTTAAATTTATAACTGGATTTAGTCCTGTTCTTACTTTTCATTCTGATTTGTAAATATTTTTGCTTTCTGGGATCAATACTGTAGGTTATAGTACAAAGAGAAGCATCAGTTACAACTGCTAGATTGTTTGGGAGATTAATTTTGAAAGTTGTTACGTTGATTCTTAACAAGTGGTGAGTTTACCTTTGTTTCTATATTTGGA